ACCTCTGGCAACCAGGGTAGTGTAGTGCTGATGAGCAGCATGAAAGTAACTGCTATTTACTGTTGCATTTGATGCCTCACGAATGTGGGACATCACAACCATGCCAGAGCGCTCAAACTGCAAACAGTGAGCGTGCGCAATGCGTAAGCGGCAATGGCACATTCTGTAGAGCGCTGAATATGACCTAAAGGCCATAGAGCGATATCTCACTACAGATGGTATACCATTTCGTCCGTATGGGCCTCATCAGTGAAGTGCTGATGAGCAGGATGAAAGTAACTGCCTCACGGATGTGTGACATCAAAACCATGCCAGAGCGCTCAAACTGCAAGCAGTGAGCGTGCGCAATGCGTAAGCGGCATGGCTCATCCTGTAGAGGGCTCAATATGACCTAAAGGCCATAGAGCGATATCTAACTACAGACGGTACCGTTTCGTCTTATGGGACTCATCAGTGTAGTGCTGATGAGCAGGATGAAAGTAACTGCTATTTACAGTTACCTTTGATGCCTCACGAATGTGGGACATCACAACCATGCCAGAGCGCTCAAAGTGCAGGCAGTGAGCGTGCGTAAGCGGCAATGGCTCATCCTGTAGAGCGCTCAATATGACCTATATATATATATATATATATATATATATATATATATATATATATATATATATATATATATATATATATATATATATATATATATATATATATATATATATATATTTAATTATTTAAATAAAGTACAAAACAAACGTTGTTACTCAGAGTTTCATGCCTGAGTTTACAGACAATCTTCGGACAACTAAAGTTCTGTTAACTATCTTTAGTTGACAGAACTTTAGTTGTCCGAAGATTGTCTGTAAACTCAGGCATGAAACTCTGAGTAACAACGTTTGTTTTGTACTTTATTTAAATAATTAAATATATTTAGCTCTACAATAAAGTATTGAGCACTCTATATTATATCAAGAAGACTTGAATTGTTATATATATATATATATATATATATATATATATATATATATATATATATATATATATATATATATATATATATATATATATATATATATATTTTACAGTTATTCTACGAACTCGTGTTGAATATGAGCTGATTGCCGATGAGGCGCGTAGCGCCGAATCGGCTATCGCTCATATTCGACGAGAGTGAGTGGAATAACTGTTTTATTATATACACAAGGTCTGAATTCACAGACTTTGCTTTTCGGATATTTTCAATATTTTTCTATTTTGTTTATGTTTTTATCTTCGCTCTTTCGGCCGATTATTTCTTCAAAAATATATATTTTTAACCATTTTAAATTTTAAAAATTCATTTGCTAACCTGTAAACAATTTGTGCGAGTTTTTTCATTGTGTTTTTAATCCTGTAAAGGCTATAAAAAGCGAACAACTTGCCGTTTTCTCGTTCGCAAAAATCGGAAATTCAGTTTGAGCCGCCATTTTGTTTTTCTCTACTAGTAGGATATGAGCTAATATCCTGCTAGTAGAGAACCAATCAGATTGCAGAATACCTCATATCCAGACCTTGTGTATATAATAAATATATATATATATATATATATATATATATATATATATATATATATATATATATATATATATATATATATATGTATATATATATATATATATATAATATTCAATATTGAATTTGTGCGTAGTGGACTAGAGTGCTCAACACCAATAAATCAGTAGAGCAAATAAAAAGACATAAACAACAAATTTCAATCTTAAAATTTTATTTCATCGCTACACAGTGTTTCACGTACAGCGTACGATCATCAGACGATTGATGTTAATTATCTCGCAATAAATTACAACGGTTTACGCTGACGCGCTTAGATTGCTGACGCAAGCATTTAAACGATTGTGTTTACTTGCGCGCGCGCGTTTGAAATTAGAAGCTTTATAACTGTTCCTATGCCTACACTTGCTAAACAATTCAGATCTTATATTCAATGTATTAATTTTGTCCGATAACGTAATCATTCTTTTTTCCTCGGTGCACAGAGAACAAACTTTCATTCCTGGGCAAACGGCTGGAACTTGCTTCATGACCGACCAAATTATTCGGAATGATTTGTTCTGCGATTTAAGACCCCAAGCATATTTCGAAAGTTCCGTCTCTGTCGAATAGCGCTCATTGTTCAATGATTTCAAATGATTGCTATATCTTAGCTTGAAAGGACCCGCCGTCATTCCTATATAATTCTTGACCACTTTCCCATTGTCGCTTGTAATCTGGGCTTTATACACAACGTACGCTTCTCACGAGACAATTGCCGTTCAGTGGACATTTACTTTTAATTCTGCAGTTACACGATTTCGATGGAATTTGGGAGGGATTCTGATTCTTAAGAACACGCCGGTTGTGGTTTGAAATTGATGCTTTAATATTGTTCATGCATGAATAACTGACTTTGACAGAGTTTCGGTTGAAAATTTTATGTAGGATCGATGATTTGGGGAAATGCTTGTCTATTAAACGAAGGAAATTTTCTGCAACTTTCGTCTTCACGTTCTTGCTGTAGGGCGGATTGTACCAAATAATGTTTCTTGATCGGGTTCGTTTCTTGGGCTTACTACTATTTGTTTCATTGTCGTACCTTAGGTTGGTATTGAAATTGCTTTGCTTCAGTGCATCTTCGTATAAAGGGGCGGCTGAATCAAAACTCGGTTTGTTGGAGGAAAGGGAGGATATACGTTTATTAATTTATTTTGGGAGTTGTCTGATAATTGATGGTGGATGATTAGAACGGCTATCGATATAAATGGGATCATTATTTGGTTTTCGAAAGAAAGGAACGAAAAAGACTAGAAAGGAACTCCATCGCATTTTCGACCAGTTCGGTTTAAAGATTACCGCTGATGTCTGCCATCAATCAGTGAACTTTCATGATGTAACCTTAAACTTGAAAGAAAATAACTTCACTCCCTATCGAAAACCAAATAATGATCCCATTTATATCGATAGCCGTTCTAATCATCCACCATCAATTATCAGACAACTCCCAAAATCAATTAAACATGCATCAACATGCATAAACAATATTAAAGCATCAATTTCAAACCACAACCGGCGTGTTCTTAAGAATCAGAATCCCTCCCAAATTCCATCGAAATATCGTGCATGTAACTGCAGAATTAAAAGTAAATGTCCATTGAACGGCAATTGTCTCGTGAGAAGCGTTGTGTATAAAGCCCAAATTAGAAGCGACAATGGGAAAGTTGTCAAGAATTATATAGGAAGGACGGCGGGTCCTTTCAAGCTAAGATATAGCAATCATTTGAAATCATTGAACAATGAGCGCTATTCGACAGAGACGGAACTTGGCGAAATATGCTTGGGGTCTTAAATCGCAGAACAAATCATTCCGAATAAAATGGTCGGTCATGAAGCAAGTTCCAGCCGTTTGCCCAGGAAAAGTTTGTTCTCTGTTCACCGAGGAAAAAAGAATGATTATGTTATCGGACAAAAATAATACATTGAATATAAGATCTGAATTGATTAGCAAATGTAGGCATATAGGAACAGTTATAAAGCTTCTAATTTCAAACGCGCGCGCAAGTAAACACAATCATTTAAATGCTTGCGTCAGCAATCTAAGCGCGTTGACCAGCGTAAACCGTTGTAAGTTATTGCGAGATAATTAACATCAATCGCCTGATGATCGTACGCTGTACGTGAAACACTGTGTAGCGATGAAATAAAATTTTAAGATTGAAATTTGTTGTTTTTGTCTATATATATATATATATATATATATATATATATATATATATATATATATATATATATATATATATATATATATATATATATATATATATA